TAACTGTATTCTATGAATACCTGGAAAAAAATGCAAAATTTAATTCACACACAGACATGGCCTCAAACACACTTAGATTTAGATTCTCTTCAGCAGCATCATCTTCTTCATGAGAAAATCCTTCATGATTCCTGCAGTGAGGGGTAGCTCTGTTCAGAATAAAGAAGATGGAAACAGAGGCCACAGCCAAACACTAATTTCCACCTCACAGGAAAATGGAATGGACAAGGGAAAATGGTATCCATAAATGTTTTTCACTTTTGGTAATCAGTTTCTTAAGAAGAAGACTGTGGGGAGGAAAGAAGGATAAAAAGGGAAATTTCCTTTGCAATGCTCTGCAGGGGGAGAATAAATCCAGTGCCTTTGCTCTTCCCATTACTTACTGTGAACAAATAATTAGGAAAATTACCCAACAAATATTTACTGCGGGCCTCCTCTGTGTGTCAGACATAGTAATAAATGCAGACTTCTCCCCCATCTCAACCTTTTTGGAGATTATTTTACTCAGTGCCTTTTTAGAGGTTATTTTACTCTGTGTCTTTGCAAATAAACCAGCTGTTCCTGCTAAAGATGACCCTATGGCTGCTGATATACATTATGATCATAGTATTTTGCCCAAAAGCCAAGGATAAGCCTCTGACACAGCAATCCTGTAATTCAACACTCCTCTCTCTGTGTAAAGAATGCTTTATAAGCAGAACTGAGTACAGGGTGGGAACCTGAGCTGCATGCAGCTCTTTGGGATATTTTGATTGATAAGATGATGCAATCCAGTAGAGCAGGCTGGAATTCTACCAAACAAGCTCAGATCCCTGGAAAAACTAAAGGCATTTATTGGTCTAGAAGTATGGGAGGAGCCAATATATTTCTTGATGAATTATCAGAGCTGGTTTAAGTCCTATGGAGACCCTAAGCATTGAACGATTATGGTGCCCTCCTCTCCCCCACATACATAATTCCAAGATGAGTTCAATTAATTTCAATAAAGTTCTGATTTTCTCATGGAACCACTTCAATAATTTAATTTAAATGCCAAACATGAACCAAAATTACTTCCAGAAAAAAATTAGAGATGCCCCTCATATTTTGATATGTCATTATATGAGTTTCACATGTACAACATAGCAAATTCCATATTTACATACACAACAAAGTGACCACCGTACCACGTCTAGTTACCATCCATCACTATACAATTCTCATCACCCATTTTGCTTCCCTCTCCCAACTCCCTTTCCCTTTGATAATCATCAGTCTATTCTCTGCATCTATGAATTTCTTTTGTTTGTTCATTTATTTTTTAGATTCCATATGTAAGTGAAATCATACAGTGCTAGTCTTTCTCTGACTTATTTTACTTAGCATAATACCCTCTAGGTCCATCCATGTTGTCACAAATGGTAAGATTTCTTTTTTTCGTAAGATTTTATTTATTTTTTACAGAGAGGGGAAGGGAAGGAGAAAGAGAGAGAAACATGGATGTGCGAGAGATACATCAATAGGTTGCTTTTCACACACTCCCAACTGGGGACCCAGCCCACAACCCACACTTGTGCCCTTTGGTTCACAGGCCAGCACTCAATACACTGAGCCACACCATCCAGGGCTCTTTTTTTTTTATTGCTGAGTAATATTCCATTGTACGTACAGCATACTCACAACTATTAACCCACTTTTGCCCCACCCTGTATATACCACATCTTCTTTATCCATTCATCTATCAAATGGACTCTTAGGTTGTTTCCCCCATCTTAGCTATTATAAATAATGTTGCAATGAACATAGCAATACACATTATCTTTTCAAATTGGTGTTCTTCTTTGGATAAATATCCAGAAGTGTAATAACTGGATCATATAGTAGTTCTATTTTTAATTTTTTGAGGAACCTTCATACTGTTTTCCATAGTGGCTGCACCAATTCACATTCGCACCAATTCACATTCCCACCAACAGTGTACCAGCATTCTCTTTTCTCTGCATCCACATGTTATTAGCTCTCCTACTTTGTTAAAATGTGCGTAATTTACCTACTGGGTAATTTGTCACTGTATATTATGAACCAATACAGGTCTGGGGGGCAAAAATCATCTAACTAGCATAAACTTAGCTATAACTACAATTACCTTTCATACCATTTAAGATTTATACTATCTTCTTCCCTGTGCCCACTCCATGGCACACCCAAGACGAGCTATGATAGTGCCTTCCTTGTGCACCTCTTCTAGCCTCTTATACTGGTGGATCCTTAGAGAACCCTTCCACAATTCAAGGATCCTTCTTCACAAATAGTTTGAAAAGCATTGGTTATAACCACTATTATCTGCCAATGCTGTATGACAAGAGTATAAAAAATATATAGAATAGGAGCATTCCCAAAAGGTCAAACCTGAGCTGTCCAGGGGTCAACAGTTAAATGAAACACTACAGTGGGCTCTATGACCGCTACCCAACTATTGCACGTGCTTCACAGAATGCATATCACAAATCCCCACTAACCCCCTTGTGTGAGCCCTTGAATGACATCCTTTTGCTAGTAGGTTCCTGCCATGGCACACTATTCCTAAACAAAAATAAGTTTTCACATACTTTGTAATTCATATGTAAATGTACTTCTTTAATGTTTTTACTCAGCTTTCTATGCCTTATATACATGTGCATGAGTATTTTCTGTCTTCAGTTGTAAAATTTTGGAGCATAGAGGCTAGCACTCCATAGTTTTCTTTATAGAGCACTTTGTTTAGTGCTTGGTGCTATTTGACACTTGAAAATATATATTTTTTAATTTTAAAATTGATTTTAGAGAGAGAGAGAGGAAGGGGGAGAGAAAAAAACCATTAATTTGTTGTTCCACTTATTTATGCATTCATTGGTTGATTCTTGCATGTGCCCTGACCAGAGATCAAACCCACTACTTTGATGTGTCAGGATGATGCTCTAACCAACTCAGCCATGAGGTCAGAGAGAAAATATTTTCTGATAATATGATGATGATACTGGCATCATCACCCAGTAGTGGAGATACTGTTAACCAGGAAAGAGTGGGGCTAATTAAGAAATACCTATAGCCAACCTTTCCATGACACTGTCTGCCTTTGGCACAAAGAGCCTGCTGAATACTCATCCAGCATATGTATGCAGTTTTGGTACTATCATAGTCTAAATTTGCAGCTCTAATTAATAAAACCCAGTTCTACCAGGGCCTGAGATTATAAGCCTGAATTTCTGCCCCTGCCATCTGATCAGTGTGTTGTCCTTGCCTATATCATTCAGGTCTATTGTCTAACCTTTTTGTCAGACTTAATGAAAGCAGAGCTTGTGGTTACCTGCTGCTGACCCTTATACTGAGGCCTGGTGCTAGTTAAAGGTCTCAGCTCTACAGTTGCTATGGAAACTGTCCCCTTCATCTCCCTATTACCTATTCTGGCATTCTTCTCTGATTGCAGAAGAGAAGGCCTACACCTCTCACCATATTCTTTGCCAGACTGGAATCTTCAAATGATTAGGCAAAGGTGTCACAAAACATTGTCTCCTGTGTTGTATAGGGTGAGGCACCCCCACCATCTGATATTCTATCAGTACTTTTTACTTATCCTTCTCTGCTACAAAAAGGATTGTCAAAGCCATGTCCAATTTCTTTTTGAGATGTAATTAACATATAATATGTCAGTCTCATGTAGGACCATGTCCAAATTGATTGAAGAATGTTCTGGCTATTTTGCTACAACACATGCTCCATGATAGGGCAGAGGATTGCTGTGAGGTACTTAACATGCAGACAGGGGTCAATCCTCCTCAGGACCTCCAGAGAGAAAATGGATCAGAACAAACATGCTCTCAGGCAGCCTTTGCTGGACCGGGTAATGTGCTGCTTTCCACCGGATACCATCTTCCAAATGTAAGGCAAATGGGATCCAAAAAAGTGCTGCCAGAGTCCTAGGGTGAAAGGCAGGCTCTCTGTCTGATGCTTACATGTACAGAATGATTAATGTCCTGGGTAAAAGAGCTAAAGTGCAGAGTAGGTGGTGGGGACATGTTGAGGAATGAGTGAGGGTAGACTTACAGCACACACCATTTTTATAAGGATGTTCCAGTCAGACATAAAATAGTGGCAGCTTCCTTAGTCCTTTTCCCCAAATCCTGGTTCTTTGGTTTTGGAAGACTCAACCCTTTCCTTGGTTCAAATATTGCCCCTTCAGTCTTAAAAATTCCCTGGGAGGAAGTAATAACAACACAGTCTCCAAAGGTTACACAAGTCACTGTGTCACACACATTGCCTGTAGTTGGAAAAGTCTTTCCTGGGTTTTACTCCTATCCCCCTTGCTGCAGTCTGAGTTCACTGCACGCCAGTCCTGCACTCAGCATAGATGGAGTCCAGCCAACCACTATCTTCGGAATAACAACTCACCAGGGACTCAGGGCCGGAAGGTCATTCTGTCCCTCCAATACTGCGCAGCCTTCTAGAGCAATCCCAGGGGCTAGGGCAATGAGGACACGAAAACCGAGGACGGAGTCTAAGACCCTGGCAGGCAGAGGCAAAAAAAAAAAAAAAAAAAAAAAAGTGCCAGACAGACAAAGATAACACAGACACAATAACACAGGTGGAGACAACGACATAAAACTGAGATAGACAGGGACAAGATGGCTCCCTCAGTTCGGGCGAGGCTGCGGAATTGCCAGATAGTACTTAGAGGGGAAACATCCTAACTACAAGGTTGCTTCGTTGCCCAGGCAATCGACTCGCCCCTCCATCCGGCCCCTCAAAATCCCCACCCCTGCCAGAGGCGGAGTGGGAGCTCCGGAGGGTGAACCAGTAGCCGAGGAAGAGGGTGGTACCCTCAAGCCCCCGGCAGCTCGAGACTGCAGAGCCTAGCGTCCCATCCGCAGCCCGGCCCCTGCGGCGCCAGTGCTCCGCCTCCTACCAGGCAACAGCCAATGAGTGGCTCCTGCCGCCGGCCTTTAAGAGCCGCGCGCACTCTCCCTGCAGCGGACGCAGCCGGCCTAGCAAGCCAACGGAGTTTCCATGGAGACCGAGGCTGGGCCCTGGTGGCCACGCGGCGTTACCATGGAGACAAGTCTCGGGCTGGGGCTCCCAAGCCTGGGCTCGCCGCTGTCTCAAAACCCCACGGAGCCGCTGTGCGATGTCAGAGCCGCGGTGGCGGCGGCACGCTGGGACCCGCGGAAACATTCTTTGCTCATCGTGATCGGCGATATCGGTACTGAGAGTCAACTGAGGGCCGTGCGGGCCCACCTTGAACAAGGTGAGCCGCTGTCCTGGCTGTGCTCGGGACATCCTCCATCCCGAGCTTCTCCGCCATCTGCATTTACCTCCCAGAGCGTACGTCTGCATCCTCCATCCCTACTGGGCACTTCCTGAAATCCGGGCGCCCTGTTAACCTGATTCACCAGCCCCTGTCACCTGCATCTTCCACGTCAAGCGTCCGTGTCCTCCCGAGCTGCCAACAAACATCTCGCTTCCCCATCCTTCCCGCACACCCCATGGCATTCCGCAGTCTCCCTGAGGCGGGGTAGCTCTGTGCAGCCCCGGGGTCCGCTCTGGCCACACCCTCTTTCCCCGCACTGTCTCGGTCCAGATGTCCTGAAAGTCCTCACCTTCCCCTGAAGAAAGAGTCTATGTCCCTACCTTAGTTTCTTCTTTAGGATCCCTGCACAGGCACAGGGTGCATTCTGAACGCTGCGGACAAATCTCAGATCTCCCAGTGTGGACAGCCAACCTGAGAGAGTGACCTTTGTGGCTACAAGCTCCTCAGTCCTCACCGCCCTCCCCAGTTGCCAGCCAGTGTCGCAGTGCTGCGGAGCCACCTGCGGGTGGAAGTAAGCCTCGAAGGGGTGGAGGCAAGGAGGGGGACATAGGAGAGTCTAGAATCTTACTTAGCTGTAAAAACAGTGAAGGCATCCCCCAGTATCTGGAAATAGGCCCTTAGGTGTCACTTCTAGCAGAATTGGGCAACTCTGCAAGAAAATTCCTACATACAAACTCAGTAGTAATTACCAAATTTAGCCTAAACTCTGCCCCTCTCCCTCTGGCTCAGGCAAGGCCCAAGAAAAGCACAGGATGTGAGATAGACCTAGGCACTAACCACCTTTCTTAAAGACATCAATGAGACTGATAATGGCGGCTGTCCTTATCCTCTTCCTCTCCTTACCCCTCTTGTGAGCTTGGAAGTGCTCCCTGAAGTACAACCTCTCCTACCTTATCTAGAGCCCTCTTTGTTTCTTTTTCTTTCACAGGGATTCTCTCCTGGAACATTGACTTATCATCCTTTGATTTGAACGAACAATTGAGACTCTTCATTACCCGGCACCTAGCTCACTTCTCTTCAGAGGTCAAAGGTTAGGATTAGTGTCATTTGTCTCAGTCCTTTGGGTGTGGGTTGGTCACAGAAGAGCAGAGGTCCACTCTCCCTGGCAGAATTGGCCTTGTGGGAGATTTGGGTGGTGAAGATGGGAGGGACCCCTCACAGGAAAGTTGTAAAGCTCCATAGCTATCCCTATATACCAGTACACTTCAAAGAAAGATGGTATGATGGTGGAAGCAGCCTGGAGAATGTAATTTTGCCTGAGAAGAAGGTGGTTTGTGGACAGCTGTTGACTGTTGCACTAAGGAAACGAGGTACTTCTCATGACCAGTCAATTATCTCTCATGCACAATTCACTCTCTTTTCTGTTCCCCTTTCTGTGAACCCCAGCCTCCTTGCTTCCCTTCACAGAGATCCTTGAATCCCCCACTTTGCTTTCCCAGATCCTTGCTTAGAACTTTCCCTCAGCCTCCACAGCTTACTCTCCAGGTTTCAGGGTTTCTGGTTCCTTCTTTGGCTCAGCCATCAGGTGTCCAGAACAGAGCAGAAATCTGGTACAAAAGGCGAAGAGTACCATCCAATCCAGGGTGGAAGCAGGGTCTCCTGGAATTGCTGCTACAAGAGCTAGTTACACTTTGAGGTTTGACTGTGAGATGAAAGTTTACAGGGTGTAGTTCCCCATCCTGCTGAGTGGAAGAAATGGCTCATATATTTGAGAAAATAATATTTTAAGAGTTATTGTTCCATGACAGTATCTGTGGGGAGACTGCAGAAAGTCCTACATCCCATTATAAAAGTGTTGGGCATTTTGGTTATGTTTTCAGTAAATGACACACCAATCCATGTGCCAGTGACTGTACGGAATATAAAATCCATCCAACTCAACAGTTACTGCATCAAGTGACTGACTCATATCTTATATAGACGTTTCTCAATCATTCAATATAGTAAATAGTCACACACACACACACACACACACACACACACCCTCTTTTCCCATTCTTCTTGCTAACTGCCACATCTTTGGTCATTTCCCCAATCACTGACTCCTCTGGAGATGCTCCTGGAGAGAGAAGACAAGGTGAATATGACTAATGCTTTATTATCCTAGGAATATGCACAGCATTTTGAAAATGTGAGGCTGGCATCCTCTTGATATGACTGGCTTCCTGTGAAGCTAGCCACCCACTGTTTTGAGACTGCCTTCTGTTTAGAACTACTCTCACATCATGGCTTCCTCCATTAGCACTGATGATTGAAAATCTATAGTTGTACCACTTATTACTCCATGGAGCTTTAGTGCAAGATAAGGGGGTGATAGCAGATGAAATTAATGACTGAACTGAAGGTTCGGAAGTATCTGCTGATGTTAATAATTTATACTGAATTCTCTAATCTTTCCTTTTGGCCACAGAGACTTTAAGATTAGGCTGCTTTCTGGAATGATATATATAAATGTACAGACTTTAAACCAAAATACTTAGCTATTTTTAAATTAAGATTTGGGGATGCTTGGGAAGGTGCTTTACTGGGAGATACATAGGTACTCTCAGGGACCTCTCTGAAACAAGCACTGATATATAAACACCTACTAGATCTTTTTGATCTAACAGTTATGCCTTGATGTCCTCAAGGGGCTTAGGGTCATACACCCAAGATCGGGGCTTACTTTAGCCTACTGAATTTTTTTAGGTTTTGACATTTTTTTGGTGGCCTGTGTCCCTGGAGAACAGTGGAGAATTTCCTGGAAAAACCCACATGGTGCTCAAGACAGCCACAGCCCCACCCCTGCTGGCTCCTTTTTCAGCTGTCCCCACAAACAACAAACAGTCAGCCTAGAGCAGCTGCAGACACTGCCCCTCCCTTCAGCCTCCCTTTTATAGGGAGGCAAAGGGAACCAGATGGCTAGGATGGGCTCCAGGGGATATGCTAGTGCCTTATGACTTTGTTTGGCCATCCCTCTCACCTCTCCTTAAGCCCTCAACTGAAATGCTTAGAAAGGGGACAAAAATGTACCTTACAATGACAAGGAGAGTGCAATCATTCCTAGCCACCTCCCTCCACACGGTCACACTCTAGGAAAAGCAGGGACCTTCCAATGGAGAGTCAGTGGTCCAGCTCCTCCTAGTGGTCAAACCTGGTAATGGCTTTCCCAGGTGAATTTTGCACCAGGTAGACAGTCTTTAATGGTGACTTGTAGACTTCCTTTCTAACCCCTGCAAAAAGCTGGAGCTCCTAAGCATTATAAAACAAACCCAGAAATAATTAGGACCATGGAAAACTGAGTGTAAATGACACCCTGATACTACTACTATTGGGCACCTATAGGAAAGGGAGAGGGCTTCATAATTTATAATCCATGATTGGTATTCTAGGATTCTAAAACACATAGGCTGAAGGGCCAGTTTGGAGGTCTTCTGTGTGACTCTCCAATACCACTGATGTGCTCAGGAAATGCAAGTTCTGTTACCTTCAAACAGGAAAACCATTCTGAATGAGCAATGAGAGAGCAGCTCACTGGCCTCTACAACTGGGGTTCGCGTTGCTGTCTAAAATGGGAAAGCAGGGACATGAATAGTACTTGAAGTCCTTTCCTGTGGGCACTTCCAGTTCTGGGTTTACCTGAGAGCTGAGGGTACTCTAGAGTTGGTCTTGTTTGAGATTGTGATTTAGGATTTTCCTTATCACTTACATGAGCTCTCACAAATCTGCTACAAAAGGGAGACAGATATCCAGTGGCATTTGTACATTGCAGGCTTAGGATTCTAGGAATGAAGCATTTTTCCATCTTTTATGCCATTCACTCCTCACAGCATTACTGGAAAATGGTACTAATATCATACTCACTTTATAGTTCAGAAAGCAAGCTTTCAGAGAGGTTAAGTGAGTCGTTTAATTGCATGATTAGTGAAATGGTAGAGTCAGGTCTCAAATCCAGGACTTTGAATCTCACTTTGTGTCTGGTCTCAGGCCTCATTCTCATCTTTGGTATGTCTATTTCATTGCAGCAGAGTCTAGGAACACAGCAGGTGAAGGGTTGGTTGTGGTGGGTGGCGGTCCAGAGGGTGAGAGCTGAAGAAAAACTCCACTATGAGTTGGAAATATGCCCAGGGTGTGGCCCTTAGGGGTAGCAGCCGAGAATAAGGATGGGCTCTGCATTGGGGTGGGAAATGTTATTTTGTTCTCAAGCCAATGTCTACTCAATTTCCCTCTTAGTACACCTCAGAGAGACCTAGAAAGCAGAGAGGAGATAGAAAGAAATAAAAAGTATGAAGTTGCAGAAGGAAAGGTGTTTCCTTTTTGTGATGCTCGGAACTCAGCCTGGTTTGTGTTGTGTAACCCTGCAGATGGCTTCATATATCCAAACGGGGCTGTTGCCATGTTGCTGCTTTGCATCCCTGGATCTGAGCAAGGATTCCTCCCCCTCTACACCCCCCTCTCCCCAGCACTGGTGACTCAGCTCTCCTCTACTCTGGTGGCAGTTTGGGGAGGCGGGGAGGGATGCTGAGAGCAGAGACTATTTTGGCTTCTCTGACCTTCAAAAACAATTCTTGGCTGCCTAGGGCAAGGGTGGGGTTGGTACGGGGGGGGGGGGGGGGGGGGTATGAGTGTGTGGATGTCAATGTGTGGAATGCTTTAGGAGTTGGCCAGGCCTGGGGAAGGTTGATGGAAAGGAAGAGGGCCGGAAGGGCTTTGTGGGAGCATGAGCATCATCCGGTTGGAACTCAGTGCTAGAGCTCTCCAGATCCTCCTTTTGAATCCTAGAGCATGTAACTGAATCTGAGACAGAGGTAGAGACTAAGGGAAGCAGAGCCAGTATTAGAAGGATTAAGACAGTATAAGACAGCCCTGGCCCATGTGGCTCAGTCGGTTGGAGCATCATCCTGTGATTGAAAACTGAGTTGCGGGTTTGAGATGTTTCTCTCACATGATGTTTCTCTCTCTCTCTCTCTCTCCCTTCCTGTCTCTAAAAGCAAAAAAAAAAAGTGTCCTCTGGTGAGGATTTAAAAAAAAAAAAAGGATAGTATGAGACAGAGCCCTCAAAGAGACATAGAAAATTGCAGAGATGAGGAGAGAACAGGGACCCAACACTCTACAAAGTCATTATAAGATTTTTTTAAAATCCAAAATTACTTTATGTTGCATTTAATAAATGGCCTATAGTAAGAAACCTTGCTTAGGCTGGGGCCCTGGTGATCCTCTTTGGTCCCTGTTAACTCTTTCACTGAAAGGCAGGAAGCACCCTGCCTCTTCATACCGATGACCCAAGAATTCCTGGCATTGCAGCCTGTGTGGTTACTGTGCTGTGCTGTATTGGCACAGAACCGCATGCTCCCAGTGTTCCTGTGCCCCACCCCGGGTTGTCGAGGACCATGTGTCCACTCCAGAATTTCAAACTACCCAACCTAAAATGAGACTTATTCTGCTTTCCCTGGGTTTCTGCAGCTATGGCCCAAGAGCCGGCAGAACTCAGCGCAAGTCCCGTCCCCAGCCTTCATCTCAAGCACTCCCCTCACTCCTACTCCTAGCTTTCAGGCCCCCAGCCCCTTTGTCTCCCGTCCCTCCAGGGATTGAAGGTCACTCCGGGGTCTGAGGGGAGAGGCAGCAGATGGTTCCTGCGAGGAGGGGGAGGCCCAGGCAGCCCTCACCTCTTATGTCCCCCACAGCGTGCCACAGCACAGGGCTTTGGTCTTTTGGCTGATGCTAGAAGAGTATCTCTTGATGAAGCAGGGTTGGGGGAGAAGGGTTCTGTGGGCCTTTTCCTCAGGCTTTTAGAGCTGCTAGACAACTCCTCAGACCCCCCAGAGACCAGGAGAGACACCGGAGTGCTGACATTGTGAAGGCAAAGAAACAGTTAAGTCTCCAGTGCATCGTCATGGACTAGCCTCTCTTCCCCGCCCCGGCGCCGCCCTCACCATCAAGCGCCCCCGCCCCCCCCCAACTCCCACCCTAAGTGCTGCAGACTCTTCCCTGAAGCTGCCGGCTCAGGCCGGAGCTTCAGCCTCCATGAGGGGCTTCATCCCACACCCAGGGTAAGAACCATATCGAACTCGAAGGGCTTGGCATGGGGAGTGGGGGATACTGTGATCTGGAAGTGGGATGGGGGTAATGAGAAGGGGGTTGATACCTAATTGGTGTGTCTGAAACTGGACCAGTGGGGTGGGCAGGGTGAGGGAGCCGAGAAGGACAAACATTACTGGCTTTGGGGCCACCCTGGACCCAGAACCAGGCAGAGGCCAGTGAGGCCAGGACAGTGACAGTCCACCTCTCAGGCTGCACTGGGCTGGGAGACATCAGCTCAGGGGCAGCAGCAGAGGGTGGTGTCACTGGCTCTGCCTGGCAACCTGGGTGCTGGAAGAGTTTGGGGCTGTGTCTTTGGGCAGAGGCAGAAGAATCTGAGGGAAAGGCGGATGTTATGGGGATGTACCTAATGGGAGGGTCCCTGGGTGTCAGCTGCTCGATTGCTCAGCTGCTCCTATGCTGAGGGTGAGCGGGACAGTGAGTTTTTGCCAAGTAAGGGAAGGTGGGGACGCTGTGGAAAAGAAAGGAGGAAAGGGTCATTGAGACGTGGCACGCACCTCTTCACAGACTGACCTATTTGCATTGGGCTCCAGCATTCCCTGAGACTAGCCTGAGACTGGGTCTCTAAGTGCCCCCCAGACCTTTCCGGCTCCCTCTGGAGGTAGAGAGGCCACTCTGGAGATTAAAGCACTGCTTCCCGAGCAGCTGCCCTGCATTCCCAGTCTTGTCAACCCCACACTGGTTTCCAGCCTCAGCCCCACCCCCACCTCATCTCTGCTTCTCTTCCCAAGATGGGGGCTCTTGAATAGAGGAGCCAGTTTCTTCTCCCTCTTTGCGTTCCCCCCTCCCTACCCTCCCCATGCATAGGCAGCCAAGAAAATGACTTGTCATGCTGGGGTGGGGGCGGAGCTGGAGCCTGAGCTCAGTGCGCACACTCACACACACTCACACACTGCGGCAAACTGCAGCTGCCGGAGCGGCCCCCCCTCCCCTCTGCCTCACTGCGGAGACACCTGCCCTCCTGCCGACTCAGCCTCAGCACCCGCAGCCCACCCCCACCCCATCACTGGCCAAGGGAAGTGACGGTGACTCACAAGAAGTCCTCTCCAAAGAAAAAGGAAAAACAGTCCATACCCTGTGGTGGGATTGCTGGGCGAGTAGAAGAGAGAAACAGTGCTTTCTCCCAGGCCTGAAGAGGAGGGGCACAGGGTATAAATCATGTAGTTGCCAGTCAGCACTGGAGAGCACTTGGGTGAGGGAGAGGGTGCGCCACCAAGACAGGACACGGGTCAGAGAAGTCTGGTGTTTATAAACAGGGGACTGCAGGGACTGAGGGATTGGGGGAGGCGGGGATAAGAAACAAATCAGTCTGTACCACAGGTATTTCTCTTTCTGAGTCTTCTAGCTCAAATGTGCAACTTTGTGGTGTGTATGGGGGTGGGGGTAGCAATTGCCCTTCTAAATGCAAACTACTTAGAGCTAGCCTAGAGCTAGCTGCTCCCTCACCTGCCCCAGCCCAGCCCCTGCCTTCCTCTGAACTGACCTCAAAGCTTCCCTCAATCCCCAAGTGAATAGAAGAGAGCCCTTGAAGTCCTCGTGGGCACCACCCACCCTACGTGGGGTTTGCTTTTCTGACACCCTCCATAGTTAACCTACCCTGCAGTTACAACTGCAGCCCCTTGCCGTCAGATCTGCCCAATCCTGGCACTAAAGCTCTTCCACTTAACAAAGGCCCTGGCCCCAGGCTCCTCTTGCCAGAGCCTCAGAAAGAGGAGAGAGCTGGGTCACAGTAGAGGGCCTTGTGGAAGGTTATAAACCCTCCCACCAATATCCTCCAGATTGCCCACTCCACGGGCCACCTGTTCACCTGTTTGTAAGGTAGCTTTACTGTGTGCTGCACTTGGGAAGGGCAGGAGCAGGACATGACAGCATCCTTCTTTAGTATCTTCTGTCTTAACTTTCTTGGCTGTGTTGCTTGGCGGTTCATGTGAGAGTGGGGAATGGCCTGGGGAGCACTCAATCTTTCCTTCCTTATTTTTCTTTTCTCTTTTTAGAGAGAGGATGGGGAGAGAGAAAGAGAAACATTAATTTGTTGTTCCACTTATTTGTGTATTCATTGGTTGATTCTTTTTTTCTTTATAAGGAATTAGAAGCACAGGGAAGGGACATGTAGACTTTTTAAATTCTCACCTGATGATATGTTTATTGATTTTGGAGAGAGAGGAAGGGGGAGAGAAACAGAGAGAAACATCAATCTGTTGCCTCCCGTGAGAGGGGATTGAACCCATAACCTTTTGGTGCATGAGATCATGCTCCAACCAACTGAGCCACCCGCTCAGGGCCACTGGTTGGTTCTTGTATTATCCTTATTTGTTTCCTGTTTTGAACTGCTAACTCCCCTTTCCATGGCAGAAGGCCTACAGGAGACGGGCAAGGATGGAAGGAGAAATTGTTCATAACGGATGGGCGGTTGGGTCATGGACCGGGCCTCTGTGGCACCTAGGGACATGATGGTGAGGTGGGAGGGGGAGCTGTGAAACGTTTGGTGGTGGGAACAATATGACGGGGTACGCTTGTGATTGCAGGCTTGGCCTCTCAGGAGCCAGCGAACAGAACAAGAAGTTATAGTCCTACTTCTACTCTTTGAATTATAAAGCCCCAAGGGTTTAGGTAGTGCAGACTTCTCTTAGTCTTTTGGAATGGGAATTCTGGTCTTGGATGGGGTCAGAAAGGAGGATGGGGAGTCTGAAAACACTGCACAGAAGTGCCCATCTCTTAACTTCCAGGCACTCTGCTGGCATGAAAGCCCAAGGCAGACACAGGCTAGGGAGGAGAGAGCTGAGTGTGGATCATGTCCCAAGAGCCCTCCCTGCAGCTGAGCCCCCTATCCCCAGGCAGCACCAGGAGCTTAGTGCTCTAGAGGGACAAAAGCTTCTTGTCAACTAGGCAGTCTGAGGCGGGAGTTCCAGGCAGAGGGTGTGGCAGTTGAAGGGAGGGAGAAGATGGACTGTGTGGAAGAGGAAAGGAGGAAGCCCAGAAAGGCAAGGGCTAGAGGAGCCTGTGCCTTGACCTTCCGTCAGCAGTATCCAAAGTGGCAGGATCTAAGAATAGCCAGGCTGCTCTTTCTGTTAAGCCCCACTTTCTGGTAGTGCATTATTTTCCCTCCTGCCCTGCACAATGCCTCTCTATTTTAATCTGTGCCCACTGTCTTCAGTATAAACCCCTGCATCTCTCCCTCAGGCCAGAGGACCCTCTGCCACCAGAGTGAGATCCTAGAAACCATCATCCTGGTAAACCCCAGTGCCGACAGCATCAGCTCTGAGGTAAGGCCAGGCCTTGCCACAAGGGCCTGGTTTGAAAGCGTTGTAACTCACCCTTTCAGTACTACTACTGTAATGCCAAGAATTTCTGGACTTGCTTTTCAACCATTCTTTCTCTGTCATCTAAGCTGCCTTACAGTCTCCAGCCCCACTCTGGAGCGTTGTGGGGATATCAGTGGGGAGCATGTCCTTGCAGAACTGAGAGGAAACCAGGAACATTTCATGCCATTCCCTGGGTTTCCTACATCTGTGACCACACCGCTCCTTCCATTCCAGGTTCACCATCTCCTTAGCAGCCCATCAGCTCACAAACTACTGATATTGAGTGGGCAAAGTTTAGAGCCAGGGGGAGACCTCATCCTGCAGAGTGGTACCTACTCCTATCAAAACTTTGCCCAGGTTCTTCACAACCCAGAGGTAAGTTCCATGTCTGCATGTCTGGGAGGAACAGAATATGGGATAAAACTAGAGCTGTGGGGAGGGATCCAAGGAAGGGGAAATCTCATATTGCTTGACCATCCGGGGTTCTGGCAGAAAGGTCAGAGATTACCTTGGTAAGTGGTGGAGATTACCAGAGTGAATCTGAATCAGATTAAGACAACCCCAATGACCTGATCAGCCTTCTATCTCCCATTACTCTAGATTTCCCAATTGCTCAGCAATAGAGACCCTGGGATCCAGGCCTTCCTCACCGTGTCCTGCCTAGGGGAGGGTGATTGGAGCCATCTGGGACTATCCAGTTCCCAAGAGACCCTGCATCTCCGACTAAACCCTGAGTCCACGTTGCCGACCATGGATGGTGTGGCTGAGTTCTCTGAGTATGTCTCTGAGACCGTGGATGTGCCATCCCCCTTTGATCTGCTAGAGCCCCCTACCTCAGGGGGCTTCCTCAAGCTCTCCAAGCCTTGCTGCTATATCTTCCCTGGCGGCCGAGGGGACTCTGCCCTTTTTGCTGTTAATGGTTTCAACATCCTAGTGGATGGTGGCTCTGATCGCAAGTCCTGCTTCTGGAAGCTGGTGCGGCACCTGGACCGCATTGACTCGGTGCTGCTCACACACATTGGGGCGGACAACCTGCCAGGCATCAATGGACTCCTGCAGCGCAAGGTGGCAGAACTGGAGGAGGAGCAGTCCCAGGGCTCCAGCAGCTACAGCGACTGGGTGAAGAACCTCATCTCCCCTGAGCTTGGAGTTGTATTCTTCAATGTGCCTGATAAACTGCGGCTGCCTGATGCCTCCCGGAAGGCCAAGCGCAGCATTGAGGAGGCCTGCTTCACTCTGCAGCACCTAAACCGCCTGGGCATCCAGGCTGAGCCTCTGTACCGTGTGGTCAGCAACACCATTGAGCCACTGACCCTCTTTCATAAGATGGGTGTGGGCCGGCTGGACATGTATGTCCTCAACCCTGTCAAGGACAGCAAGGAGATGCAGTTCCTCATGCAGAAGTGGGCAGGCAATAGCAAAGCTAAGACAGGCATTGTGCTAGCTAATGGAAAAGAGGCTGAGATCTCGGTGCCCTACCTGACCTCTATCACTGCTCTGGTGGTCTGGCTGCCAGCCAACCCCGCTGAGAAGATTGTGCGTGTGCTTTTTCCAGGGAATGCTCCCCAGAACAAGATCTTGGAGGGCCTGGAAAAGCTTCGGCACCTGGACTTTCTACGCTACCCTGTAGCCACACAAAAGGACCTGTCTGCTGGGGCTGTGCCTGCCAACCTCAAACCCAGCAAAATAAAACAGCGGGCTGACAGCAAGGAGAGCCTCAAGGCCACTACTAAGACAGCCGTGAGCAAACTGGCCAAACGTGAGGAAGTGGCCGAAGAGGGAGCAAAGGAGGCCCGCTCGGAACTGGCCAAGGAGTTAGCCAAGACAGAGAAGAAGGTAAAGGAATTGTCTGAGAAGCCCACAGAGAAGCCGGCCAAGCCTGAAAGGGTGAGGACAGAGTCGAGTGAGGCATTAAGGGCTGAGAAGCGAAAGCTGATCAAAGACAAGGTGGGGAAGAAGCACCTGAAAGAAAAGATATCGAAGCTGGAAGAGAAAAAAGACAAGGAGAAAAAGGAGATAAAGAAGGAGAGGAAGGATCTCAAGAAAGATGAAGGTAGGAAGGAGGAAAAGAAGGATGCCAAGAAGGAGGAGAAGAGGAAAGATATTAAACCTGAGGTCAAGAAGATTTCCAAGCCAGACCTGAAGCCCTTTACCCCTGAGGTACGTAAGACCCTGTACAAAGCCAAGGCCCCTGGAAGAGTCAAGGTGGATAAGAGCCGGGCTGCTCGTGGGGAGAAGGAGCTGTCTTCTGAGCCCCGGACACCCCCAGCCCAGAAGGGGGCTGTACCCCTTCCAACAGTCAGTGGGCACAGGGAGCTGGTCCTGTCTTCCCCAGAGGACCTCACACAGGACTTTGAGGACATGAAGCGTGAGGAGAGGAGGTTGCTGACTGAACAGAGGGATGTAGGACTAGGACAGAAACCTCTCCCTGCGGACACTGCAGGGCAGGGACTCCCAAGCACAGCTGGCCAGGGGATACCACCCTCTGTTCCAGGGCTGGAACAAGAAAATACTGTGGTAAAGGAGAAAGAGGTTGTCCCAGACAGCCCTGATGAACAAGGCAGCAAGGATAGAGGCCCAAACTCTGGGACTGAAACAGAGGAAGAGAAAGAAACCTGGGAGGAAAAGAAGCAGAAGGAAGCAGAGAGGCTCCCTGATAGAATAGAAGCCAGAGAGGAAAGTGAACCTGAGGTAAAGGAAGATGTGATAGAGAAGGCTGAGTTAGAAGAAATGGAGGAGTTGCACCCTTCAGAGGAAGAGGAAGAGGAAGAGGAAGAGACAAAGGCTGAAGGTTTTTACCAAAAACATATGCAGGAAGCCTTGAAGGTAACTCCAAGGAGCACGGGGACTCTCAGGGCCCGGGAACTGGGATTCCAGGGAAAGGCCCCTGAGAAGGAGACCTCATCGTTCCTAAGCAGCCTGGCCACACCTGCAGGAGCTACTGAGCACATCTCTTACATCCAGGATGAGACAATCCCTGGTTACTCAGAGACAGAGCAGACCATCTCAGATGAGGAGATCCATGATGAGCCAGAGGAGCGCCCAGCTCCACCTAGATTTCCTACAAGTGCATATGACCTCCCTGGGGCTGTAGATCCTGCCCGCTTTGAGGCCAGTCAGCCTGCAGACAGTGTTGTTCCTGTCACCTCCAGCAAAGGCTACGGAGCACCAGAGACCGAACTCACCTACCCTCCCAACATGGTGGCTGCCCCTTTGGCTGAAGAGGAACATGTGTCCTCGGCTACCTCAATCACTGAGTGCGACAAGCTTTCCTCCTTCGCCACATCTGTGGCTGAGGACCAGTCTGTGGCTTCACTCACAGCTCCCCAGACAGAGGAGACAGGCAAGAGTTCCCTGCTGCTTGACACAGTCACAAGCATCCCATCATCCCGCACTGAAGCTACTCAGGGCTTGGACTATGTGCCATCAGCTGGTACCATCTCACCCACCTCCTCACTAGAAGAAGACAAGGGCTTCAAATCACCACCTTGTGAGGAGTTCTCTGTGACTGGAGAGTCAGAGAAGAGAGAAGAGACTGTAGGGAGGGGCTTGCCTGGAGAAAGAGCTGTGGAAGAGAAAGTGGAGACTGCAAAGGTAGAGATATCCGAGAAACTTCACAGTCAATATGGAACCCCAATGTTTGGTGCTCCTGGGCACACCCTTTATCCAGGGGAACCAGCCCTTGGAGAATTGGAGGAGCGCTGCCTCAGCCCAGATGACAGCACAGTGAAGATGGCCTCTCCTCCACCATCAGGTCCACCCAGTGCCACCCATACACCCTTTCATCAGTCCCCAGTGGAAGAAAAGTCTGAGTCCCAAGACTTTCAGGAAGCAGGCTCCTGGGGAGACACTAGGCGTATACCAGGTGTGGGCAAGGAAGATGCTGCAGGGGAGATAGTCAAGCCAGGACCTGAAGAGGACACGCTAGAGGACGGGGAGAAGATGCCTCCTCCCAGAAGCCCCCAGGCTCAGGAGGCAGCCATCAGTATTGCTGGGGGACATACAGGCTACACCATCCAACTGTTGCCAGAACAGGATAAAGCAATAGTCTTTGAGACTGTGGAGGCACGAGAGCCCATGGGCCCAATTCTAGGAATGGAAACACTTGCAAGAGATTTGAGGACATCACTCCAAGAAACTGGTGAACCTCAGAAAACTGAGGTACTCCAATTTCCTGACCAAAGCCTCTCCTCTGATGATGCAGAGTCCCTCTCTGTTCTCAGTGTGGTCTCCCCAGACATTGCCAACCAGGAAGCCATCCCCAGGTCCCCCTGTGGCCTGACAGAACAGCATCTACACAAAGACCTTTGGCCACAGGTATCTCCAGAAGACACCCGGTCACTTTCTCTCTCAGAAGAGAGTCCCAGCAAGGAGACCTCTCTGGATATTTCTTCGAAGCAGCTCTCTCCAGAAAGCCTTGGCACCCTCCAGTTTGGGCAACTAAACCTTGGAAAGGAAGAAAAGGAGCCCCTGATGCAGGCTGAGGACACTTCTCAGCACCTAGCCCCCATGTCTATTCCAGAACCCCCTGCAGCCACAGTGTCTCCCCCCACAGATGAGAATGCTGGATACTCTGCACAGACGGACATCACAGATGAGAGCCCTGATGGAAAATTACCTGCCAGCTCCTTCTCTCACTCGACACTGTTGGGAGATGGGAAGCACTCACCTGAAGTGACCACAAGCCCTGGTGAACACATTCTGACACCTGATAGCTCCCTCACCAAGAGTCTCGAGTCTTTGCCAAGCCCTGCCATGGAAGACATTGCCATGAAGTGGGAAGGGAAAGTTCCAGAGTTGCAAAGCAGAACCCCAGAGCCAAAGGATGAAGTCCTGCAGCAGGACAGAATTCTGGAGCAGAAGGATATTGTTATAGAGCAGAAGGGTACAGCCATCCATCAGAAAGGTGAGGCTCTGGAAGAAAAGAACAAGGCTGTGGAACAGGAGGATAAGACCTTAGAACAAAAAAACAGAGGTGTAGGACAAAGGGACACAGTCCTGGAAAAGAAGGACAAGCCCCTGGAACCAAAAGACTTAGAACAAAAAGACAGAGACTTAGAACCAAAAGACAAGGCCCTGGAACAGGAGTGTGTGGTCCCCAAAGAGAAAGATGAAACCATAGAACAAAAGGTCAGAGAATTTGGACATAAAGACAAGGTTTCAGAGGACAAGGTCTCTGAACTGAAGTCCAAGACCTTAGAACAGACAGACCAGGTCCCTGAACAGAGGGACAAGACCCAGGAACAGAAGGACAAGGTCTTGGAAAAGAAGGATCAGGCCTTAGAACAAAATTACTGGGCCTTAGGACAGAAGGATGAAGCCCTGGAACAAAACAATAAGGCTCCTAAGCTGAAAGACAAGGCTCTGGAGGAGATGGACAAAACTCAGGGGCAGGAGAGCACAGTGCAGGAGAAAACCATGAAACCAATGAAGATCCAAAAGGAAAAATCTTCAGAAAAAGTTGAGGTTGTAGAACAGAAGGAAGAAGCTCTGCTGGAAAAGACCAAAGCTCTGGGATTGGAAGATAGCCCAGTGCAGGAAGACAAGGCCTGGGAGCAGGAAAAGAAATACTGCAAGGAGCAGGATGTAGTCCAGGAGTGGCAAGAAACATCTCCAAACAGAGGGGAGCCAGTTGGAGAACAGAAGGAGCCCACCCAGACATGGGAGGACACAGCTCCTGAGCAGGAGGACAGGTACTGGAGGGGCAGAGAGGATGTGTCCCTGGAACAGGACACATACTGGGGGGAACTGAGCTGTGAACGGAAGGTCTGGTTTCCTCATGAGCTGGATGGCCAGGGTGCACGGCCACGGTACACAGAGGAACGAGAGAGCACTTTCCTCGATGAGGGGCCAGATGATGAGCAAGAAGTGCCCCCCTTGGAACACGTGCCCCAGAGCCCCTGGGCCTCAGACTTCAAAGGTTTCCAGAAGTCCTCATCACAGAAGGGGCTGGAGGTGGAACGGTGGCTTGCTGAATCGCCAGTTGGGCTGCCACCAGAGGAAGAAGACAAGCTTACCCGTTCCCCTTTTGAGATCATCTCTCCTCCAGCTTCCCCACCTGAGATGGGTGGACAGAGGGTTCCTCCGACTCCAGGACGAGAGAGCCCTGTCCCAGAGCCTAAGCCCATGCCACCCATGAGGAACGAACCTTCCACCCCCTCATGGCTGGCTGACATCCCACCGTGGGTGCCCAAAGACAGACCCCTGCCCCCTGCACCCCTGTCCCCAGCTCCAGCTCCCCCAACCCCTGCCCCTGAGCCACACACTCCTGCATCCTTCTCCTGGGGCACAGCTGAGTATGACAGTGTGGTGGCTGCAGTGCAGGAGGGGGCAGCTGAGTTGGAAGGTGGACCATACTCTCCTCTTGGGAAGGACTACCGCAAAGCTGAAGGGAAAAGGGAAGAAGAAGGTCAGTCTGGGGCTCCTGACAGCAGCCCCCACAGCTCAAAGATCCCAGAGGCCAGTGAGAGCCATGCCACCAAGGAGCCTGAGCAGACGGAGCCAGAGCAGAGAGAGCCCACACCCTATCCTGATGAGAGAAGCTTTCAGTATGCTGACATCTATGAGCAGATGATGCTTACTGGGCTTGGCCCTGCATGCCCCACTAGGGAACCTCCTCTTGGAGCAGCTAGGGATTGGCCCACGCACATCTCAACCAAGGAGGAGGCTGCTGGTCGAAACACATCTGCAGAGAAGGAGCTTTCATCTCCTGTCTCTCCCAAGAGCCTCCAATTTGACACCCCACCCTTCAGCTATGCTGCCCTGGTGGGACCCACCATACCACCTAGGCAGGAGCCTGATCCAGGGCCAGGTGTGGAGCCCAGCCTCATCCCCCCTGCAATACCCCCCCGTGCCCCTATCCCCCTGAGTAAAGGCCCAAGCCCCCATCTTAATGGTAATACCCTGAGCTGTAGCCCAGATAGAAAAACCCCATCCCCCAAGGAATCAGGCCGGAATCACTGGGATGACAGCATTAGTGACTCAGAGCTAGAGAAGGGGGCTCTGGAGCAGCCAGAGAAAGAGGCCCTGTCTCCAAGCCCCCCTCACCCCATCTCTGAGGAGCTCCCTAAACTGTGGCCTGAAGGTGAGGCACATAGCAGCCCTTCCTCAGACTCACACCTGGGTCCTGCCCGACCGAGCCTGGACTTCCCTGCTTCAGCCTTTGGCTTCTCCTCAATGCAGCCAGTTCCCCCACAGCTTCCCTCCCCCGCTGAGCCCCGCTCAGCACCCTGTGGCTCCCTTGCCTTCTCTGGGGACCGAGCTCTGGCTCTGGCTCCAGGGCCCCCTACCAGGGCCCAGCATGATGAGTACCTAGAAGTGACCAAGGCCCCCAGCCTGGACTCCTCGCTGCCCCAGCTCCCATCACCCAGCTCTCCTGGGGCCCCTCTCCTCTCTAATCTGCCACGACCTGCCTCACCAGCCCTGTCTGATGGCTCCTCCTCCGAGGCCACCACACCAGTGGTTTCGAGTGTGGCTGAGCACTTCCCTCCCGGTCTGGAGACTGCAGAACAGGGGTCTGTAGAGCTGGTCCCAAGAATGGAAGCAGCTGCCCACAGCCTTTGGGACCTCACTCCTCAGAGCCCAGCACCTCCAGCTTCATTGGACTTGGCCTCTGCTCCGCCTCCAAGCTCACCTAGAGACATGTTTGATGGTTCCCTGTCCTGCCGCCTGGAGTGCTCAGTGGCAGCCACCAAGAAGCCAAGCTCCTTCCAAGGTCCCTCTGGGGATAGTGCCACCAATGGTCCAACTGAAACCAGCCCCAACCCCCCAGACCTTGCCTCAACCAAGGCCGAGAAAAAAGAGTCTGAAGGCTACCCTGCCTGGGAACATGGGGCCTGGACTGAGGGAGCTGAAAGCAGCTCCCAGCCAGACACGCTGCTCTCCCCTGAGCAGCCACTGTGTCCTGGAGGGACCTCTGTTGGCCAACCCAGAAGTGTCTCCCCTCAGATGGAGGCGGGGCCCCAGGGATGTGCCTCTGAGCCCCTGCCCCACCGTGGGGAGCTCTCCCCATCCTTCCTGAACCCACCTCTGCCCCAGTCCACAAATGACAGTGACCCCTCAACTGAGGAAGCTCAGCTGGTAGGGAGAGTGGGAAGGCGCCGGGTGGGGGGCCCTGGAGCCACAGGGGGCCCATGTCCTGTGGCCGATGAGACACCCCCAACGTCAGCCAGTGACTCAGGCTCCTCACAATCAGATTCTGACGTTCCACCAGAAACTGAGGAATGTCCATCCATCACAGCTGAGGCAGCCCTCGACTCAGATGAAGATGGAGACTTCCTGCCTGTGGACAAAGCTGGGGGGGTCAGTGGAACTCACCATCCCAGGCCTGGCCATGACCCACCCCCTATCCCCCAGGCTGACCCCCGCCCATCCCCTCCCCGCCCTGATGTGTGTATGGCTGATCCCGAGGGGCTTAGCTCAGAGTCTGGAAGGGTAGAGAGGCTACGGGAAAAGGAGAAGGCACAAGGGAGATTAGGGCGCAGAGCCCCTGGCAGAGCCAAGCCAGCATCTCCTGCACGGCGTCTGGATCTTCGGGGAAAACGCTCACCCACCCCTGGTAAAGGGCCTGCAGATCGAACATCCCGGGTCCCACCCCGGCCACGTAGCACTCCAAGCCAGGCCACCCCAGCAGAGGAAAAGGATGGACACAGCCCCATGTCCAAAGGCCTAATCAACGGACTCAAGGCAGGACCGAGTAAGTATGATGTGAAAAGTAGGAGAGATTGTGGGTTGTGGCTGGGTGTGTCTGGTCTAAGACTCCGGGAATGGGAGGAAGGGAAGGAGGGAGAAGGTTGCCACAAGCAGTCTACTTTCCCTCTACAATGAGTCCTGGCTTGTCCCTACAGCAGCCTTGGGTTCCAAGGGCGGCTCTGGCCCGCCTGTATATGTGGATCTGGCCTATATCCCGAATCACTGCAGTGGCAAGACTGCTGACCTTGACTTCTTCCGACGAGTGCGTGCATCCTACTATGTGGTCAGTGGGAATGACCCCACCAATGGCGAGCCAAGCAGGGCTGTACTGGATGCCCTGCTGGAGGGCAAGGCCCAATGGGGGGAGAATCTTCAGGTGAGTGGCAACAGATGTCAAGGAGGTAATCTGGTCCAAGCTTACTCAGAGGCAGTAGTGGAACATAGTCTTTATTCATAAAAGCACTGAGTTATTTATTTATTTATCAAATGACCTTTAATTGAAATATTTTCATTTGTAGTTCTTAACTAGCCAGGCATCCCCCTGTACCACTGTTGATGTCATGTATGATGTCACGAGGGTGGCGGCCATCAACATTGCAGCCCACGGAGTGGGCCATCCCCAGGATCTCTTTAATGGTTCCAGAGAGTTCTCTAGCTGAAGATCAGTGCCACATCTGTCAGGCAATGTTGACAATCTCACCAAAAGTGATAGTTCCACTGTGCTTAATGTTTTGGTTTTTTTTTTTCTTCTTTCTGTCTTGTGGTGATTCTTTGAGGGCTCTGATGATCAGGGCAGAGGCAGAAGGCACTGCCTCAATCTGGGCCTGTCTGTTCTGTGTGGTCAGTTTCACTGTAATCCTCAGACCTTTCCAATCACAGGTTGCTTTGGTGATGTCATCACCAACCTTTTTTGGAGATATGCCCAGGGGGCTGATCTTGGGGACTAGGGCAGACATGGGATCGACTTCCCTGCTGGTGCATCTCAGACATATGACTTTGATCTCCTTGGGGTTGAACTTTGGTGGCATGGTGGAGGTAGCTAGTGTCGGATTTGGGACAATGAAAGAAAGTTGCACCTTTGCCTCCTCCAAGCAAAAATCAGGACTGAGCCCTTTCTGTGGGCAGTGGGACTGCCTCCTTGACTATCAGGTGTTCCATCCCCTCACTTCCCTTCCCTTCTTAGTCTCACATCAGACATGTCTTGTCTCTCTCCTAGGTGACTCTGATCCCTACTCATGATACAGAGGTAACTCGTGAGTGGTACCAGCAGACTCACGAGCAGCAGCAACAACTGAATGTCCTCGTCCTGGCTAGCAGCAGCACCGTGGTCATGCAGGATGAGTCCTTCCCAGCCTGCAAGATTGAATTCTGAAAGAACCCCTCTCCTTCCCCAAGGATCTGCTCCCCAAATCCCTTAGAGAATGGCTACTGCTGAGTCCTTTGGGTTGGGGGACATGGGAACTGGGGAAGGAGAGGGTGGGGGACAGGATGTCTTGTGGGGACTTGGGCTGGACTAAATGGGAAGGGTTGTCCCTTCCCCTCATCCATACCTGAGAGAAGTCTCAAAACCAAAGGTAACAGATAGGATAGGGGGAGGGCACAAAATTAGGATAGGAGGTCATTTTATGCCTGAGAACCCTGGAGTGACACCTTTGTCTAGCACAGCCAAATGCTGGGATTGGGTGGGGAGTTAGTATGGGTCATCTCAGAGCACAACCTCCTCCCTCGTGGAGGGAGATCATATCCACACCCCTAGGGACCTCTTTATTTATTTAGCATCCCAAGGAAGGATATCTAGTAGTAACTTACATGACCTGGGGGCAGAATACTGTCAGTGAGGTGCCCAGAGTTGCACCCTTCACCTCCCATCCACTTACCCACCAGGGTTGGGTTCCAGCAAGGGTCCAGGGTACACTGCTGCTACACTGTCCCACTGCTTCCCTCCATATCTGAATGTCTCAGTCCAAAACTTGAAGATCTTTTGACCAATAGACTGGTGAGAGAATGAGCTCATCCTCCCAGTCCTTGCTTCACCATATACATCCCAGAGCTGTGACCAGACCAGGCCTCCTGGGCAGCACAAAGGGGCAAGGAGAGCCCAGCCCCAAACCCAGAATTTTCCAAGCTCCCTAACCTATTAAAGTTTTCACCTACCCATTCCAATTATCCTGATCCCTTCTCATCCCCTGCTTGGCTTCTCTGCATGTGGTCATCTACTGTGGCCGGGTGTGTAATGGGTTAAAAATAAGCCACTGCTTGACATCCCAACATTGACACCCCAGCAATGTGTGAGTCCCCCAACATTCCACTGTACCATCCTGCAGCTGAAATGGGAACGCTGGCTGCCTTTCTAGCCCTAAACTCTTGGGTAGAGAGGATCTGGGAGGTGGAGGCCATGCCAGAGGACTTGGGGAAAATGAGAGGGAGGAAGGAAAGGGAGAGGAAGCTGAGCTAAAGCTTAACTCCTACTAAATGAGAGGAAAACAGGCTGAAAATACCATCTCAGGAGAGGACCTCACCCCAAGCAAGCCAATGAGCAGTCCTGCCAGACTACTGCTGGACTGAGAAATCCAGACGCTCATCAGGGCCCGGCTTCTCTGCCAAATGACTGTGGGAATCAAAATGAGCCCACCTGTGTTCTTCCTAGCTCCCACCCTCCCCGTGCTGCTGTGTTCTGCTCCTCCCCACACTTCCCTGCTCTAGTTCCCAGCTGCTGTAATGGAGCTGCCTTCAACTCTAACAATAAATCAAGTTCATTAGAGATGCTGCAGTGCTGCTTAGGCTTTTTCTGACTCCACATGTTGCTTAGTTGCTGGGCCTCGGTTTCCTCTCTGCTTCTCCAAGCCTAGTCAATTTATCTCAATGTCTGATAACTGGAAGCAATTTCAGGATCCAGAGAAGCCCAAGAACATAGGGTGGGTGAAGCGAAAAAGGATATGAGGAGTCAGCATAACTTCTGAAAATGGGTGAGAATACCTGAACCAAGGGTGGGGACATACATTTGGTTTAGGTGAGGGAAGAAGGGCAGGGGGTCTCCATGGAGTCAAGAGCTGAGGATTGAATGACCAGCATCAGACACTTCAGAGAGGGGAACAAGGAAAAAATAAGGAGTGTAGGGGCCATAAGGAGTCCAGAGCCTCCTGAGGTTGTAAATACCTTACTTGTGCAGTCAGGACTTTCATGGAGTAAAATGTTGGATTTTCCCCCTGGAGTGAAACCCTGTATAGTCCTGGGTATGTCAGGAGAGGCCTCCTTGTGCATGTGAATATATGGGCAGGAGGACTTCCAGCCCTCCTAGTGCTCTGGGCTCTCCCAATGTAAAGATGTCAAGGGGGTAGAGAAAGAGCATAACCCCTTTATATCAACACTTCCTGACACTCCAAAGCATCAGAGAAAAAAATAAGGGGGTGATTCCAAGGAGCTGGTAAAAAAGTATTGTGTACCCTCTGGGGTTTCACAGAAATAGACCCTCTCCTACAACACTACTCATGAAGACCTTTTAGGATAGTGGACTGATTGCCAGAGTAACCTCCTGGGATGCCAGATCTCTGTATTTGTACAGCCCATCCCCACTCAACTACAAAGGCTTCTGACTGGTTCAGATTAATTCAGTAACAGATATGATTGACTTATAGTCACATTCATTTTTGAGTTCACAAGGACATCATCATCACCACTACCTTTCTCATTATTTCATATTTATTGAGCACTCATAATGTTCCAGCCCCCCACTCCAATGATGGCATTATCCCTTTTACCCACCCCCATTCCCATCCCCAAATCTTTGGGAAAAGCTTCATAATCACAACTGGCCCTAAAGATGCAATGATATAAGGACAAACCTCTTGGGGACACTGGAGTGTTTGTTCTTTGGCCAGTCTGTCCCTGGCACTACTACAGAAATATATATATATATGTATATATATAATCTTTGCTCATGTCTGTGCAATATTGATCTCTGCTGATTGCTTAAAATAGAACCTGATTTTCTCTACTGCAGTATCTCCTAAGCCAAACAGCCCCACAACAAAAGGAGGCCCAGCTTCATAGATTGGCCAAGAACTCCCAGAGCATTTTAAATAGTTTCTCTGAAATTTTCACAGCAATCCAATACCTATTTTCCCACAGAGCTACTGCCCAGAGGAATGGAACTTGGGGCACCTGGGGATGATATGGATATACCCATAAGCCCAGTCTAAAGGTTAGTGGCCATGATGGATGTTTGTTTGGGAAGGGGACTCTTCTTTCCCAGACATTTCAGACAGCCATCCTGGGCCCATCTGAGGAGTGCTAGCAAAGACAAGAGTCTCCCTGAATGCACATATGGTCTAAGGGTACCTTGAGAAGTTGTGAATGTTTCTTCAGAAAAGTGAAGACCTTGGAATCCCCTTTTGCACTTGTCCCCGGATGGTGTCTTCAGCAGTTAAGAGGCATTTCCTTTAACAATTGGGGATTTTCTGGGTTGCTCAGAGGTGGCTGGGTAATAAGAGACCAGCTCACCCCTTGAAGGAAATCCTATTCAAGTCTAATGGCTTGGTGAGGAGTCAATGGCTGCTTTGAACATGAAATTGGCCCCTCACCAAGCTCAGCTCCAGCACCCGTATGCTTCAAGCCAAGAGGACTGCTTCCTCAGACACCTCTGGTAAGGTCCAAGGCCTCATGCTGGCAGGTAATTTAGCCAACAGAAAAAGCTGCTAGCTCAAATGGCTGGTACAGTGTAACACCATTAATGAGAAAATGATTAATCACATGTTGCTGGTGGAAGGGGTGAGTTTTGATCATGGGCTAGAGACTGGCTCTGAGGATTTGGATCACTACATGGATACTGGGCTTGGGGAACATCCTCCCCAGACAGCTGCTCAGTCACATCATGGACCACCCAGGACTGCTCGTTAACCTTCTCAGAGACTTCCTGGATCTGTAGGTCACTCTCCTCAGGGAACTCTTGGGATAGTGTATCAACCTCAGGGATATCCTGAGACAACAGGCTGGTGGCAGAAGCCTCTTGGGCCAGTCTGCCAACCTCCAAAGAGAACTCCTGGCATGGTTGGCTGAGCTCCTCAGGGATCTCTTGGGCTGGTTTGACAACTTCTGCAAGGCATCTCTGGTCCAGGCCACCAAACCCTTCAGGAAGCCCATGGACCAGCCTGCCAACCTCCACAGGGACCCCGTGACATGGCTGGTTGACCTTCTCAGGGTTCTGCTGGCAAAGTTGCCAAGTTTCCTCAGAGACTTTCTGACACAGTTGGCTGATCTGAGGGACCTCCTGGCATGTCTGGTTGACATCATCATGGATCTCCTTGCATGGCTGGCTGTTGTCAGGGACCTCCTGGTATGGCTGGCTGATTCCTTCAGGGATGTCCTGGCATGGCTGGCTAAGTTCAGGGACCTGCTGGCATGGCTGGCTGTCCTTCTCGTCAACTTCCTCACATGTCTGGCTGGTTTCCACGGGTAGTTCCTGTAGGGACTGGCTTGGTACAAAAGGCTCTTGCTCCCCTTCTATGGGGAGCTCTTGTGCTCCATCTCCTGGGATCTTCTGGTGCAGCCCAGGGCCTTGACATTCTTCAGTCACACGTGAACTTAGAGAGGGTTGACCACTGAAGCCAAAATGGCAGTTACCATCCACTGCAGTAGGGGAGGAAGGACCAGCACTGGACACGGTGCTAGAAGGGCCACTGCTGTCTGTAAAGTAAATTCAGAAGACCAAGTCAGGCAAGCTGGAAGAGTAGGTTCTACTCTACATATGTAGTTCAAGTGCCAGAACAGATAGCCTATTTTACTCTGTCTTGGGGAAATAAGGCCTGAGTACTTCTAAGTCATGCAAAGACTCCCAAGTTAGCCCAGCCCCAGAAACTGTTGCTCTGGCCTAACGTGCACTACAGGAGTAGCACCAAGGTGCATCTAAGGCTTCAGGAGACAGTGTTGAGGCCTCTTTCATCCAGTTCTTTCACCAATGTATCCCTATCCCAATTCCAAATTCTCACGATCCCTCATTCACATCTGGAAGCATATGAATGAACACTTTATCCCAGTGGCTCATAATTAGGGTTACATAGATTCTAATCAATTCCAGAGATTCTAATTTGTAGGTTTAGGGTAAAGGTATGCAGTAGAGACGGATATAAGGGTAATATATTTTGTTGAAACACTCCCAATTACATCTTTGGTTAAGAATCATTTCTTTAAAGCAATCAATATATTTCTGAGGCAGAGGTAATCATTGTTTATAGCCCAAGATACAAGTAAGCAGAAGTATGGAGAAAAACCTTGTGAACAGAACGGTAGAAGGGAAAATGATTTATCTAAAGATGGAAGAATATCATAGAATCTCTGGCAGCAGTTTTTAACTAAACTTTCTGGGGCTCACTGACGCCTTTGAAACTCTAATGAAAGTCATGGACTACCTTCCCAGAGAAATGTACATATGAATAATTACACTAATCTTTACATATAATTCCTGTGGTTCATAAACTTTACCCTGAAATCCATCCATGGATCCAAAGTTAAGACCCTATAAGTGTTGGGACATACAGTGTTACAGGTTTGTGGATATTAAATACACATAAAATATAAAATCTAATTTCCCAGATCCTGACAGTAATAAAATGAAAGCTGTAGGATCTTCATTTACACTGTGGGACAATTCCTACCCCAACCTCTACTTCTTCATTGACCTCTAGCTGGGGACTAATCTACTTTTCCTTTTGTAAATATATTTATTGATGGCATTATAACTTTATATTTAAAGCACTCTGATATAAATAATTATAGATTTTGGAAATAGAGGCCACCTGAATATCTTTTAATCAAAGAGGACCTGGGAAAGTTTGTAAACCCAAGCCTACAAAGGTTCTATCAATCATTCAGTTTAAGGTATGCTGACAACCTCTTTTTGTGAAGGATCAGAGGAGGCATGCTTCAAGCAAAAATAAATAAATAAATAAATAAATAAATGTTAAAAAAAAAGAGGAACATGGTTTTGAGCTAATAAGGCTTATTTAGAGCAAAGAGACAGGCCCCCAAAATACTTACCAATGAGGTTATACACCTGATACTAAGATTACAAACAAGAAAAAAAAAAGCTGTAGGCTGTATTCACTCAAACATAGAATTAGCCTTAATATTTGGCTAGTGGTTTGATTCAGGCAAATCAAAGAGGTCAGACAGAAACATAAGTGGGAGAAGGGGAGAAGGGCTAGAGGGGCTCAGAACCATAAACACTACAGGAGAGAGGTAAAAGGGACAATGGCAAGGTGAGTGTAGGATAATCTGAATTTCAGGGGGAGAATTCTTAGTGTTAGGAAGGAAAGTTTCTTCAGCATTCAGGGTGCCACAGAAAGGCAAAATTCAGTAAGTATTTAGTACCCCAATGCTGAAGTATGCATCTACTTAAGTCCTATCCAAGTAAAATAGTGAAAGGTGTGTTTGATTTTAGTTATTCCCCGGAGACAGGATGAATAAGGAAGGGATTTTCCATCAGTGGTGTCTCCAGCCCTTACCTCCCTTCTGATTACTACTGATATCTCCCTCCCCTTATAATTACCCTAAAAATCCTTGTGGCCCCCATTGTTCTAGGATAATTAGTGATAGGCTAAAGATAATGAAGAACAGGTGGGGAAAAGCAGCACCTCAACTTGTACTAAGAACAGACAACTTGAGAGAAAGGACATCTAGAGAGTAGTAGCAGATCCTAGTTTCCTCCTCCCAGCTTTTCTATACATTCAAGTTTCCTCCCAAGTCATCTTCACTTGAGGATGCTGT